CTGTCATGTGATAAAATTGAAGATTATGCTAGCTTTAGTGTACAGATAATCTTAATTTTTAATAATGACAGGAGGCGAGTATTTTCCCTCCCTGTTCTCTTTCGTTCTTCCCTCCCTTTCATTTTCACTTCTACCTTCTACACTTTGCTCTCTCATATGTTGGTATAATACCTGACGCGGTAGCTCTTGTTTAAATGCCTTATTTACCTTTGCTTATAGAGCTATATATATATTGTCTGGGTGGGATACTTATTTAACACCACTAAGGGAGGACGTTTAGTTTATTATTATCATGTTACTAGACGATATTAAAGTTGAATTACGGGACAGACATCCTTTGTTTTATACAATCACTTCTGGACTCTAACGCACCTTATACTCTCGTTTCAGCTTAACCAGAAGCTACACGGAATCATTAAAGTCTCCATACAAGATGTCGTCATCATCGCATCAGGAGATTTATCATCAGGTCTTGGTAGACCATCGTTTGACAAGGAGACGCCTTCGTCTGCATTCTACCTGTTCCGGTTCAATTTATTCTGATTAAGTTTCCAGTTTCTTGTTCTATGGACTTCTCAGTTGTTCTGTTATTTTCTAAATTTATGAACTTGTGATGTCGCAATTTTTAAAGAGGAAATTATGTCATAGGTAACACCTCTTATACCCTATTCTACGTTGTGATTGGTTAAAAGTTTTGTCACTCTTTTCTTTGCTGCTATGGAGATAGTAAAGAAAGATTATGCAAAATACTCGCCTCCTGTCATTATTAAAATTAAGATTATCTGTACACTAAAGCTAGCATAATCTTCAATTACAACAGTTTGTATACATGCCTCCCACTTTTTAAGGGACCAAAAGTAATGGGACAGATTAACAGTCATAAATCAAACTTTCACTTTTTAATACATGGTTGCAAATTCTTTGCAGTCAATTACAGCCTGGAACGCATAGACATAACCAGACGCTGGGTTTCATTCCAGGAGATGCTCTGCCAGGCCTCTACTGCAACTGTCTTCAGTTCCTGCTTGTTCTTGGGGCATTTTCCCTTCAGTTTTGTCTTCATCAAGTGAAATGCATGCTCAATCGGATTCAGGTCATGTGATTGACTTGGCCATTGCATAACATTCCACTTCTTTCCCTTAAAAAACTCTTTGGTTGCTTTTGCAGTATGCTTCGGGTCATTGTCCATCTGCACTGTGAAGCGCCGTCCAATGAGTTCTGAAGCATTTGGCTGAATATGAGCAGATAATATTGCCCGAAACACTTTAGAATTCATCCTGCTGCTTTTGTCAGCAGTCACGTTATCAATAAATACAAGAGAACCAGTTCAATTGGCAGCCATACATGCCCACGCCATGACACTACCAGCACCATGCTTCACTGATGAGGTGGTATGCTTTGGATCATGAGCAGTTCCTTTCCTTCTCCATACTCTTCTCTTCCCATCACTCTGGTACAAATTGATCTTGGTCTCATCTGTCCATAGGATGCTGTTCCAGAACTGTGAAGGCTTTTTTAGATGTTGTTTTGCAAACTCGAATCTGGCCTTCCTGTTTTTGAGGCTCACCAATGGTTTACATCTTGTGGTGAACCCTCTGTATTCACTCTGGTGAAGTCTTCTCTTGATTGTTGACTTTGACACACATACACCTACCTCCTGGAGAGTGTTCTTGATCTGGCCAACTGTGAAGAGTGTTTTCTTCACCAGGGAAAGAATTCTTCGGTCATCCACCACAGTTGTTTTCCGTGGTCTTCCGGGCCTTTTGGTGTTGCTGAGCTCACCGGTGCGTTCTTTCTTTTTAAGGATGTTCCAAACAGTTGATTTGGCCACACCTAATGTTTTTGCTATCTCTCTGATGGGTTTGTTTTGTTTTTTTCAGCTGATGGCTTGCTTCACTGATAGTGACAGCTCTATGGATCTCATATTGAGAGTTGACAGCAACAGATTCAAAATGCAAATAGCACACTTGAAATGAACTCTGGACCTTTTATCTGCTCCTTGTAAATGGGATAATGAGGGAATAACACACACCTGGCCATGGAACAGCTGAGCAGCCAATTGTCCCATTACTTTTGGTCCCTTGAAAAGTGGGAGGCACATATACAAACTGTTGTAATTCCTACACCATTCACCTGATTTGGATGTAAATACCCTCAAATTAAAGCTGAAAGTCTGCACTTAAAGCATATCTTGTTCATTTCATTTTAAATCCATTGTGTTGGTGTATAGAGCCAAAAAGATAAGAATTGTGTCGTTGTCCCAATATTTATGGACTTGACTGTATATATATATATATATATACACATATACATATATATATATATATATATATATATATATATACATAAAAATATAAGGTACAAAAGGCAAGCACTCACAGTCTTTTCTGGTCTCTTTAAAAGGTTGTTCTTTATTTCATAGGTTAAAACTTGATGTGATCGACGTTTCAGCCAAACTTCATGGCTTTCATCAGGATCTTAACAGCTCAAAATACATCTTACAAATAACACACTTATATAGTAAAACAAATAATACAATCAATAATTAAAACACTTACCACCTGAGGCTGCACTGCTTCCACGGCGTTCTATCGCCGTCTCTGCGCATGCGTCACCCTCCCGCTACCCGGAAGTAGCGTGTTGACGTCATCGTTGCCGTGGATACCCGGTATGTTTACCTGGCTCCACGGCAACGCAGCGAGCAATATCCTCGCTCTTTTCACAGTCAGCCTAGGCGATCTAACTCTAACTCTGCATCTAATCAAAACATTAAAAACATATTAAACAAACAATATTTAACTATTTAGAGGGATCTTATTCATTTATGACTCACATTCCATTGTTTATAAAGGCTATTCCATATCTAGTATCTAGACATAATTATACAGTTAGGATCTTATCTGCATCCTACCATGCACCACTTATTAGATGTTTTTAAAGTTACAATTACAAATTATTTACAATAAACTATATTCCAATAGTCTCAAAGTGCTAAATATATCATTTCTATACAATAAAGTGCTAACATTTGTATATTAAAGTGAGACGTAGTAAATTAAAGTGATACTTGTGCTATTTATATACATCAAAGTGCTAACATTTGTATGATAAAGTGAAACATAGTATATTAAAGTGATACTTATACTGTTTATATACATCAAAGTGCTAAACATGCTGTATATGTACATTAAAGTGCTAACATTTTACCTAAAGTGCAACTAATTTATTAAAGTGATACACGTGTAGTTTATATACATCAAAGTGCTACATGTGCTATTATTATGTACTATTTATTGGTCACCGAAGTATTACTCTCTTTGTTGCTGCTATCAACTACCTAGTTACTGTGCTTCAGTGATCTTTCAACATATTATATACTTTCAAAGTGCTAAAAGAATATATATTATACTATTATGTACAAAAATAGAGGGATAATAGATCTACTAGTGTCTTATATATACATTATTTACATAAAGCCTCATTGCAAATTCTATTGTATATCGTACCTATATATTAACTTAATTTATCCTATCAATGAGTCATATTCATTATAGTAATGCTCTTTGCTCAAAGAGGTATTATTTAAGATAGATAATTGATAATTGGGTACAGTCCTTTATCTGAGCAAATAGGATAAGATCTACAACTTTATATTTTATATTTTAATTCGTTATATTATATCTCCATATAACCTTTTTATTGATATAAATTCTTCCTCTAATTCTAGTTAAAATATATGTATTTTAATAACTCAAAGGAGGCAAACAATTATTTCAACATTACTCATATATATGGATGATATGATATCATCTCGTTCAATCCTCTTGGAGCCACAGTTTCCAATTCTTGTATCCAGAATGTCTCTCTTCTCAGTAGGGCATTACCCCTATCTCCACCTCTTCTAGAACAAGGTATCCAATCAATTGCCACGAATTTTAACATAGTCAAAGAATGTTTGTATTCTAAAAAATGCTTCGCCACAGGTTTGTCTGTGTATCCGTCTCTGTAGGCAGTTCTTATATTGGATCTATGACCCCTAATTCTGTCACAGAGCTGCGTTTCAGTTTTCCCTATGTAAACCAAGCCACAAGGGCACGATATTTTATATATTACATGGGTCATCTTACACGTAATGGTGTGGCGGATTTTATACATCTTATTTTTATGTGGATGGTTAAACTTACGTGCTGGCACCATATGACTACACGTCACACATCCTAGGCAGCGCACACTGCCTCTTACTTGTGTTATCTTCTGTTCAGTGTAGCTCTCCACAGGGTCTGTTTTCATTAATATATCTTTTAAATTTCTGTTTCTTCGATAGCAAATACGTGGTGATTGCTTAAATTCTTTTGGCAAACTGTTGTCACATGCCAACATATTCCAATTACGTTTTACAATGCTGTTTATTTTCTGTGATTTGCTGTGGAATGTCATGGGAAAAATCAATTTGGGGACTTCTGTGATGTCTTGTAGCGTGGTCGCATTCTCTTCTGCTTCTTCCAACGCTTTGTCTAAGACTCTTTCACTATACCCTCTATCTAGAAATTTCATTTTCATTTCTTGTAATTGTATTCGTTTAGTTGTTTCCTTTGAATTATTTCTCATGACCCTAAGAAACTGAGCTTTAGGTATAGACTTGATCAGATTTTTTGGATGTGCACTGTTGTAATGTAGTATGGTGTTTCTATCGGTAGGTTTAGAGTAGAGACAATAGACCATTCTGTGATCTTCCACGGATAATTCCACATCTAGAAATTGTACTCTTTCCGTACTCACATTGGCCGTCATCCGTATCGGTGTTGGAAGTTGATTTATGAACTCAACCATTTCTTGCGCTTGCAATTTCGTACCACGCCAGATTATCAGAATATCATCTATAAAGCGAAAGTACTTTATGATGTTCCTTTTAAATGGCTCTAATATATATTCTGTCTCAAAGGTGTACATATAAGAATTGGCGTACATAGGCGCCATAGCCGCTCCCATGGATGTCCCTGATATTTGCATGTACCACTGTTCTTCGAACCGGAAATAGTTATTTTTCAATGCAACCTCCAATAATTCCAAGGTATATTCAATAGGGGGACCTTTATATTTTAATGAAGCACATAGGACTTGTCTCATAGCCTCTATACCACCATCATGCGGGATGATGGTATAGAGGCTACTGACGTCCATCGTAATAAGTACGGGTGATTCTTCTTCTATATATAGATTTTGAAGTGCCACCAATAATGAAGGTGTATCTCTAATGCATGTATGTAGATCATGTACTGTGTCTTTAAACATAGCGTCTAGCCATTTCCCTATAGGTTGGGTGCAATCTAGCACGGATTTGCCATATAATACTACTAGTAAGGATATATACTTTCAACTCTTAAAGCTACATAGGAAAAGGATTGATCTAGATCTTCACGGATTATTTCTCTCGGACTACTATAAGGCTAAAAGGATCCCACGAGGGTTTCGTATCATGAATATCCCTACAATTGGGAGGATGAAAGCCAAAGTTTGCCGAGATTGGATTTCAGTTTTAAACAAAGCA